ACATACACATACCATCATTTGCATAACCATAAATTGTCATATTTTAAACCGCGCCGTTATATCATTTTGTTTGTCATCTGTATTTTAATAAATTTGTTAAATATCTAATTTTCCATTAATTAATTTCAAAATCACCCCACCTTCGAACAGTCGATTCATGGTCCTATCCTCGTAAAGGGATTCGCGTCCCTGACCGAAAAACGGACCGCTCGTCGTACGTCAGCGAGCGAGTAAAGGGGCCCGACGGGTTCCTGACCCGTTCCCTGACACGCGTGTACGAACGAGGTTCACTTTTACCGCGAACGGAAAAGTTGCGCTCCTCCTCTAGGACGTAACAATATATTATATATAACTAGATATATTAGATATAACTAGATAAATTAATGGGGAAAGAATATTATAGATCAGAGCTGGACACGATCTGCACATTTCGAGCGAAATTCAATAGGTGACCTACTGTCCCCCTCGCATCGCTGCGCGCTCAGCGGCCGGGGCGACGATGGCTGTTCACTCAAGCCCGTCGCTCTATAAGAAATCAGCTGCGGCGTCATATTATCATTAAAATTGTTTCCTCGTTTAATAATCACTTTAAAATATATATGTTTACGTGTTTAATACATATATATATACATGGTGCACGATTTATCTGAAGACATTGAAATATCTCGAGAACTATGCATTGGATAAAAAAAAGTGGTTAATGAAAGTTGTTAGTCTCGAAGGGGGACATCCAATGATACCAAACTCGACCTCCCACCCCACCCCCTGGAGGTGGGGGTTGGGGGCAACTTTGAAATCTTAAATGGAAATCCCCATTTTTTATTGCAGATACGGATTCTACGCCACAAAATACGTAAATTTTGTCCGAAACTTTTTTTTTTATTTGTAATAGATGGCGCTGTAATCGCAAAAAATTATATTTTCCGCAATTCTCCAGAAATGATCATTGGATTGAGAAATAAAAAATACCTGTTCGCATGAGGGAAACGCATGAGTTTCCAAAGATCAAAGGTTAGTAATATCATATAACAGCATGAAAGATTGTCTGGTCGGTCTTAAAAAAGAAAATTGTTGTTCCGATCAGAAAGTTATTCAAGGTTATTTGAAGAGGAGATATATGGCTAAAATAACTCAGCGGATTTTTTCCGACGGAAATAGAGGAAACTCCGGTGATTAAAGCAGAGAGAAAAAAAGAGAAATCTGTGTGTGTGACGTCACTGTTCTCGGAGGGTCGCGGAACATGAACATTTGGTCGTATAATATAAAATGCAATCCGCCCTACTTGACAACGAATTCAAAGTACGCGGAGTCCGCAGGACGTAACACAGTAATAGTCTCGTTATTTTATAGCCATACCTCGTACAGCGACGGGCCTGAGTGCACCGCGATCGTCGCCCCGGCCGCTGAGCGCGGAGGGGTGCGAGGAGGACGATAGGCGTCACCTACTGAATTTCATCTGAAATGTGCAGATCGTGTCTAGCTCTGCTATAGATAAAGTACAACTTTAGCAAAACACTTTACAGCTAGATAAAGTATTAGCTTCGAATTTGAAAATACTAACAAACCTCAGATGCATCACAGTATAACTAATCATTGATTAGAAGAACCGATCACAGTAAAAGCGAAACATCTTGTCATCGAATTAGCATAAAATGTACGTATTGCAGTGTAATGTCGATCAGAGCGAGAGGACTTGCCGGGTCCGCTCCGCTTGGAGCACGAAACGATCACAATATTGATAAAAAATCGACACGCAGTAATGGTATGATTAATCATGCACAATTTATTGTCTATCAATAAACGCAATGCCAAACACGAACTCTTGATATCGGATGACTCTTCAAAGTCCGGGAATAACATTCCAATTTGATGAGCGTTCAAGAAGCGTGCGCGATCGCGACCGTTCTTCGATTATGATCAAAGTCAGCAACGGTGCTCGGTCAGTCGTTTCCACTACTGTGCTGGCGCGAACGATAGAGTTGGAGGTTGTCAGATCCTGAAGGCGCCATCCGCGAGTTCCTCCTCGGAAGCAAATTGGGACGCTGGAGATGATTAACAATAACAGTTGCACTTCGCACCAAACACCGCGCCTCGCGTTTACTTTACTGTCGAACAGTGATCACAGACATTTACACTTATCAGCAACAAGACGACAAAAACTGAAAAGAAATCATTAACCGGTGCCGTCAAATGCACGAGCTATGCGCACGGTACGATGAGATCAACGAGATTCTATGTTGTCGATCAGCACCGAGCTTATTAGAAGAAACTGGTTGAGAGTACCGTCGGATCAGATCTGATCGAATCGAATTTCTGAATTTGAATCTAATCTCAATTTAACATATGACTTACTTATATCCTTTTCTACCGTCTTTGGGAGATGCGGTAGATTTATCACGCAACATAAAGAAAGCACGATAACGTGACTAAAGTATGCTCTACTTTCCGGTTTTCCAGGTATGTAGGATAAACAATGTAGCCTCTGATCAAAAGCATCTTCTGATAATCGAGTTACTTGACTCTTAGATTTATTCGGCTCGCTGTCTCAACAGTTAAATTTATACATGTGCATTATATTTTTTAATACTTCTGCTATCTTTCTTTCAATTCCTTCTACTTCCTTTTTATCTTAACGTTTTTTTACGTTGATGTTAAATTTTGCTACGATAGTGTTACTTTTTTACTAATTATTATATATTCAGATTAAGATTAATCAAGAGTTGAAATAAAAATAATAAAATAATATTTGAAATACGAATGTTGCATTAAGGTTCGTATGGATTATACAACATATAATATATAGGATGTCTTTTGGAAACGAATAATTGTGAAGATTAATCAGATCAAACTGAGAAGAAAAGTCAAGTACCATTTTGCAAAAATCGCAATGATTATTAAGTTATTAATGATTGAAAAAGACCACATCTAGAAGCTCTTTTAATTGATGAATTCGAAATTGATAATTAATTGGTGAACTTGAAAATTGGTGGAAATGATAAATGATAAATGATAAAAAATAAATAAATGATAAATGATCCATTCGCTATAATTGAACGATGCATAGAAATTAGGCATTTTGAGATTTAATGCTTCTATATAGAACAATGTTATCGCCTTATAAGGTATAAAGGACAAGTACCAAGGATAATAAATCACAAATTTGACAAGACATCTGATCATGTACATACATTCGGGTGTGACTTCTATAAAATTCTGTGAAATCGTTATCCAATTTCTCAAATCCCATAAGTGTTGTTTTATCTCCAAGGTGCCATGACAAAAGTTGTACTTAGTGGATTACTAGGAATATGTTTAATAAAATATATTACGTTTAAGGACTGAATACCAGTTAAAGTGTTATCTGTAACTAAACTTCAACTACGCAGAGAGATTGATAGACGATCGATTAATAAGATATTTGCGTGTCGCATTAAGAATTTTATCTTTTGTAGTTAAATTTCATGTTAAACTTAATTGCGTTGTAAATCGTACTGCTGGAAAGTACATATGCTATGGTTAAAGTGATAAATTGGTTGTTATGCAATAACCAACAGCTTTAGTTAATGTGATAAAATATATGCAATTTATCACTTTAACAAGTTATTTTACATAACCAAACTTTATTTAAAGTAATAAATGATGTTTAGAAAATGATTTTGGAGAAACTTTTGAAAACTATTTATATCCAATTGTCATGAATATTGGCAGAAATATTCCAAATAATATCAAAATGTTACAAAGTTATGAACAATTAAACCTACGCAAGTGCGTTTTGCATCGCGCGCTGCGCGCACGATTGTTGAAACCTGCGCGTAAGTTAAAAGCGCGTAAGCTGCACGTGCGGTTATCAAAACTCACGCGTAATTGGGCGCGCACAGCGCGCGATACAAAACGCACTTGCAACTTACGCATGCGTTTTAATAACCGTGTGTGCAGTTTACGCGCTTTTAACTTACGTGTGGGTTCTAATAACCGCGCGTGCAGTTTGCAAGCTTGTGATGGACAGTATCTCACATATGAAACTTTTATTTGCTATATTTTCTAAGTTAACGTCGTTTGGCAGTTAATTTTTGCAGAGAATTACTCAGATGAATCTCCTTGACAACACGCACGTAAACAAACAATAGTAAGTATAGTCATCGGTATTCACCTCGAGGCAGCTTATGTAACGCTTATGTAACGACTGAAACAAGTTCAGACTTGCTGAAATATGAGATTTATCGCTTTAACCAAAGCGTGTTGGTTATTATTCATAATCACCGTTTAATGTGATAAATTTTACAAAAATATGTATAATTTATCAAGTTAAACGAAGCTGTTGGTTATTATGCATAGTAACTGGATTTATCACTTTAATCGTGATATATTAACCATAACACTGGCTAGCATGCATGGCGATTAATGTCGCTGATTATTTATCGCTGATTTTTTTAATTTTAATCAAAAAAGATACAAAAAAGCAGAAAATACTTTAAACTACATAATGGATAGTTTATTATGCTTCTTATAGCACTGCGTCAATAATAGGATTGGATAAAAACTGAATAACTCAATAGTCTCTTATATAATATGTAGCTCTCAGTTCAAAGTATTTATTACAAAGTATAATGAGTTTCAAACTTTCAATTACAAAGTATATATGTCAACTATATTGATCGTAAGTAGAATTCCGTCGATAAAATATTACGATATTGCGATATTATGAAACGTTTATATATGGAAACACGATGGTATTTTAATTTATTCTACTGTTTTAAAAACAGATTTTTATGGTTACGATAGAAATCTGGCTTATGTAAACACAATTAAGAATATTATGCATCAGTTCAAGCAAATAAAGATATATATATATATATACGAAGGAAATTTGTACGAAGTTTTGAGCACCTTGTGATATTATGACGTAATGAATACATTACACACACACATACATATATATAAGTATTTATATTCATATATTTATGAGTTACAAATTAATATAGAAATTTTTTCAGCAAATTTTATTTTGTTTTCTCGTGCAGCTTCGCCATCTTCTTCGAGTCCAAATATAATACTGCTTCAAATATTTTATATGTTAGTCTATTAATAATTGATCTGACACTTGAGAACTTCAACGCATGATGTAACAAAAATCTAAAATTATTTCCAAAATATACCTTATAAAAAAATCATAATTATACACCATAATTATCCGTAGTAAGATTAATTGTAAAATATCCCACATATATAGATGCTTATTCTAGGTTCTACATCAGATAAGTTCTTGTGCCGGTGAATTAATATTGCATCACATAAAATTAATCATGTTATAAAGTATAAAAATATGTTACTTACCTATACATTTTATAAGCGATCCACTCTGTATAACTAAGCGACGCATACAAGTTGGGCATGTTTAAATTTAATATTTCCGTAAAGAGTAATACCGCGGTTTTATAAGGAAGATATAGAGATGAATAGTAGTGACGTAGAGATATTATGATACATTTTGTTATGTACACGAATTCGGGCTCGATATCCTTAAAATTAACTTTTGTCCAATATTGAGTTAAATCTCGCAAGCACCGTTTTATGTCCTCCAAGTTACCATGACATAAATTGTACCTGACGAACAATATTTAACGTAATATATTTCGTTTATATAAAGATACAAGAGATATATATAAATAATTATACTACGAAAGGTTGTTTACGATTATTTGTTAACTACAAAAAGTGGATCTCGATGGATTGACAATCTATCGAAAATATTTGGTTCTCACATTAAAACTCTTATCTTCCAGGAAAGAATTTTGTATTGAGAACGTATTATGCTTACACATTGACTCTATAGTTTTTTACATATATTTCAACTGTATATTTGACGTGCATATTTCAACAATACTTACATAAACAGTATTTACATCGACAATTAATAAGAAGAAGGAAAAGCAATAGGTTATTTTTATTTTCCAGCTCATACACGATCTAATATTGGCTGTTCAAGTATCGGTAAGATCACACTACTTACTCGTCTTTTATTCCGAGAAAATATCCATAACATTTCCACATATGGCAATAGGCTTCCAGATCCTCGTCGGTTACACCATGGATTCCGATATTCTGCGGATATAATACGGGTAAAAGTACAAAGTTGGCTTGTGTAATAGCCATCGTCATATCATTTATGCTTTTCAATTTATACGACGTGCCATCGAACATTTTGTAAGGACGTTGTCTGGGCTCTTCGAAGGGACACGTCGTAGCGAAATCCTTCCGAAGTAATTCGTACTCTGGACACCATGAGTTTGCTATCTTTGATGCAGCGTAGTATTGTTCGTTATCCATCTGAGAAACCTTTGTGCCTATCATCAGATGCTTTTTACGGGTAAATTGCATATTTCTATAGGCTTCTGTATCTTTAACCCAAGGCTCTCCATTGAACCAGGTGAATACTCGTTTTACAGTACTCAGGTACCTTCACATTTACGAATACTTTCTTAAACTAGGTGGCTCAATAACTGATTTATGCAACTTGCATGATTGTAGTTAGAGATGTGCGAATCAAGAATTTTTATGTCGAATCGAATCGAATCGAATCTCATTTTTTAAATTCGAATTCGAATCGAATCAAATCTATGAAATTTCACTCGAATTCGAATTGAATCGAATAAAATCGAATCGAATCATTAAAAAATTTAACATTAAACATTTTACTGACTGCAAATGCAAATAATGATGGAAGATTTTAATATGAAAAGGAATATTGATTATTAATTATTGTATTGAAATTATAATATCATCTTAAAGTAAAATATATATTTAAATATTTAAAATAATTTATAATTAAGTTATTAATTATAAATTATAAGTTAAAGGTTCAAACATACAGGCCCAGATGGCCCGTTTTGTGGCTGATGCACGCAAACGATAATGTATTTAATTCTTATTCGTATTATTCGGATTTGAATCATATAGAAATTCGGATTCGAATCGAATCGAATTACATTAGATTCGATTCGATTAGTTCGCACATCTCTAGTTGTAGTGCAAGGCCAAGTTTTATTAAATATTTTAAATGTGCAAAGAAAAACTCTTTTAGTGCAGAAGGAAAAGCTCTCGGAATGAGAACATGTAGCTTTTTTGGAAGATTCGAAAATGGTGTACGTTTTCTCGTGAGTTTGCAAGCAGGGGTCTTTCCAAACTTTTATCGCATTCAACTTTACCATAAGACAATGATAAGTGCTACATGCGAATACTCGAAGAATCGTTAGAAAAGAATTTGTTATTCAGAAGAAAAAATGCTCTGCGAATTAGATTTTTGACAATTTATACCACACGACATATATATTTATACGTTACATAATTTTTTACGGTAAGTTTATATCATAATATGTCCTGCCCCCTGTGGTTCTGATTCTTATTCTGCATAAAGCTGTGTATGCAGTTGCAGCACAAAATAGTCAAAAATCGTTAAAGACAAGTGTCATTCTTATGTGTTTCTAATCTTCAATATGACAATATACAATATACATATAGGTCTCATCACCATCTTCTTAACACGTTCCGTGCCGAATCGTTTTCATGCCATTTCAACTTTTCATTCATGCCATTTGATATCTTGAGCAAAGACAGATATGTTATCATAAAATATTTCATTATATTCATTAATTTATTGACCGATAAGTAACTAGCTTGTGTAGAATAGTTATCACTTCGGGTACTACTTCGGTGGCACGGAACGTGTTAACGATCTTGTAAATTTAGGCACAATATCGTAAAAGAATACCTTTTGAGTGCTAAGAATAATGTATGACTATTTCCTCCTATGATAATTGGTTTGGAAACATCATTGAATGTGTAGCTGTAAATGGCGCCGAAAAATAATGTTACGACAATCGAAAAGTAATGCTCACGCACAAACTTTTGTCCTCTGCGATATTTATCCATGTCTACCCATTCGGGTAACTTCTCTTGGGGTCGATTGTAATCTATCAGACTGAAGGCACCCGGTATGATATTTTGCAGAGTCTCTGGCACGTTTGGGAAGTATTTTCTTATATTCTGATCCAACCAGTCATGTTGCTCTTTTGTGGACCAAGTATCGAAACCGATTGGCATTGCAGTACCACAAACTATGCCTTTCATTTTTTCCAAGTATTCATCTTCACTGGAATTGTTTAAATGATCGTTACTACGAACATTTTGCGACATTTTTTTATTATCCATGGTTTACAGAATGATGGTCGTTTGAATACTTCCTTGATCTTCCGATCGATTTGTCAGTGACAGAAGGATTTCTGAGTTGTATTCTGAGTATTTCGCTTGATTGTACCGAGAGAAAGCTTCACGCACTTCTGTTACGATATCGTATTTCACATATATAATTTCTGTAATTCCCTCCATTAATGTAACTTTCCCAATTCCCATATCTTATCTATGTTTGTCCGCTCGAATAACAGTTTATCATTTCTATACATGAAGTTACAGTATTTAATTGACTTATAGCTGCAAAGATAAGTACTTATTAAATATGAGATATATAGGACAACAAGGATAATTATTCACAAATTCGACGAGATGTCATATACATCTATTTGGATATGGTATCCGTAAAATTAACTGCTATCCATCTCAACTTTTAAATCCTACAAGCACTATTTCATCTTCTCTACGCTGCCACGACAGACTGTTCGTAAATATTCGTCCGTCTCAACTATTGATTGGAAACACGAATGATACTTGATACTAATCATAATTTCTTAAAGACATTTATCAGCATTTGTTTGCTTTACATCAGTAAACCTACATATATGTTGCTTACGTAATGTTCGTAACCTTCGATAACTGCCTACTCCACTTCGTACATATACAGGGTGTCCTATTTTAAAGAACCCACTCAAATATCTCAAAAACACTGCGTTAAATCGAAAGATATTTCAGACAGTTTGGCTTAAAGAAAGACATAAGACAGTGATAGCACTGATCATCAATTTTCTTAAATAGAAATCCCAATCTTTTATTATATCATATTTTTCTACCAACTAATTTGAACAAATTTTGTTTAAAACATTTTTTGCTTAATATTTTTTGAGATATTTAAGGAAAGCTTGGTAACTTTCTCAACATTTAACTTACGATATCTCGCTAACTATTTTTCGAAAGAAAAAATAGTATTAGACTTTTTTATTTTATTTACTATAAAGAATATATTACTATAATAGTACCCTAACTTTGTTAATTTAATAATTTTGAAATTTCCAAAGGTCGATAAGTTAACAAAAGTTAGGGCACTATTATAGTAATATGTTCTTGATAGTAAATAAAGTAAAAAGGTATAATACTATTTATTCTTTCGACGAATAGTTAACGAGATATCGTAAGTTAAATGTTGAAAAAGTTACCAAGTTTTCCTTAAATATCTCAAAAAATATTAGGCAAATAAGGAAATATTTCAGACAAAAGTTGTTCAAATTAGTTGGTAGAAAAAGATGATATAATAAACGATTGGGATTTCTATTTAAGAACATTGGTGATCAGTGAATATCTCGAAAGTGGCGTCATCTATAAACAAAATGCTATCGCTGTCTTATGTCCCCCTTCAAGCCAAACAACTTTTGTCTGAAACATTTTTCGATTTAACGCAGTGTTTTTGAGATATTTGAGTGGGTCCTTTAAAATGGGACACCATGTATATGCAACATGTCCTTTTCGAATTTCTTTATAATAAGAGACGATTAGTATTGATAGAATACAGAATATGTAATCATAAAATATTTCAATATATAACAACAACAATAACAATAATAACAATAATTATACACTTTTATACCACACATATTTGATAAAGTTTGTAAACCTTGTGACGAAAACTGGTAATATGTTAAAGAACGTTTCACGTTAATAAATATAATCAGTCTTGTAACTTCGTATGTTACTTCCGTCGCAGTAGTTATGACACATGTTAAAAATGGACACACAAATTTCTTATAAATAAAATTCAATTTTCAGAGAAAGTGTGTGGGTCATTTGATAAGTTTCGAACCTGAGCATGAAGGTGTGAAAGCTCTATTTTTTTAATAAGTTTTTTTAATAGCCATATGCGATGTTTAATTTCATTTTGACAATCAGTTGTAGTACGTGTATTTTTCAACGATGGGAAAAATCGAATATTGTTCCGTGATTAAATACTTGAATCTAAAAGAGAAAATCTCAACGGAAATCAAAACCGAGTTGGATTCTGGTGACTTTGCTCCTTTGTTTTCAACGATGAGAGTCTGAATTGCCGAATTTAAGCATAACCATATAAGTGTACTCGATAACGAATGACCTGATCGCCGTAAAACTCCAAAGATTGAAGAAATGGTCAACAAAGCATCAAATCGTATTGGGTGATTGGAGATTAAAGGTTAGAGAGATGGCAGATACCGCAGGCGTATCTTCTGAACGTATGTTCAAAATATTATGATGTATGACGACTTGGATATGAGAATGCTAATTGCGCGATAAGTGCTACGCTTGCTGACAAAAATTCAACTTAAATTCAACTTAAAATTCAAGAATATTTTAAAAGAGTTTGGACCAGTCAAGTGGGATATAAATATTTTTCACGTTGACTTATGATTGTTGACAAAACATAGATTCACAACTACTCAGCTGAAAACAAAGAACAGTCAAAATATAGTGGACTTCTTCACCAGGCGAATCTGTTCCGAAGGAGACGAAGATGTTTCATTCGACCGGAGAATCTATGGCGACTATTTTTTCGAATAGCTATGGCATATTAAACATCGATTATCTTCAGGAAGGAAAAACTATCACTGGTACATATTATGCAATATTATTATATAATGTTCGAAATTGCAAAAAATGACCTCTTTGGAAGAAGAGAAAAGTACTTTTTGGCACACCAGGACAACGTACCGGTTCATACATCTACAATCATCATAGCCAAATTGCTTGAATTATGTTATGAATTGGTTCCCCGCTTCCTCCATTCGCCTGATATAGCTTTCTGCGACTTTTTCTTATTCCCAGACATGAAGAAATGGTTGAGAGGAAAAGAATTCACGACCAATGAAAAAGTGATTGCCGCCGTAAACGAGTATTTTGCAGGGCTTAACTCAACTTACTTTGCTGACGAAATGAGAGGACTAGAAAAGAAATGCACACAGTTTATTGAGCAAAAAAGAGACTATTGAAAAATAAAATCTATTTTGTCCAAAAATATAAATGCTTCATTGTTAGGCTCGAATTTTATTTTTATTAGACAGTTCTCGTACATATACATTTGCATAAAGATAAAGTGTGGGAATATATGATATCTGTTGATTGTGTATAAAATGATTAATATTATTATTATTACTGTTATTATTGTTGTTATAAATTGAAGTGTTGTGTGACTACATATTCTGCATATCAATATTAATCGTCTCTTATTGTAAAGAAGTTCGAAGAGAATACGTGTTGAGTATATATAGGATATCCAAAAAGTCCCGGACCGGTAAAATATATCGAAAACCAAGTATTTTAGGAAATAATATTTCAAAAGTTATATGTTTTAAGGAAAACATAAAACAATTATATCATTTTGTTTACAGATGGCACCACTTGCGAGATACTCACTGATCATTACTTTTCTTAAATGGAAATCCCAATTTTTTATTATATTGTCGTTATATTCGTTATATTTATTATATCTTTTTCTACCAATTGATCTTAACAACTTTTATCTGAAACATCTTTTTACTAGCCTAATATTTTTTGAGATATTTAGAAAAAAACTTGATCACTTTTCAAATATTTAATTAACGATATCTCGCTATTTGTCGGAGGAAAAAGTGCTACTAGACTTTTTAACTCTATTTAGTTTCAAGAATATATTGTTACAATAGCGCTTTGACCTTTGTTAACTTATCGACTTTTGGAAATTTCAAAACATCAAATTAACAAAAGTTAAGTAACTACTGTAATAATATATTCTTGAGACTAAATAGAGTAAAAAAGTCTAATACCATTTTTTCTTCCGACAAACAGTTAGCAAGATAAATTAAATATTGAAAAAGTTACCAAGCTTTCCTTAAATATATCAACAAATATTTAAAAAATGTTTCAGACAAAAGTTGTTAAAATTAATTGGTAGAAAAAGATGATATAATGAAAAATTGGGGTTTCCATATAAGAAAAGTAATGATGAAGTAATGAAGAAAGAAAAGTAAATATCTCGAAAGTGGCACCATTTGTAAATGAACTATAAATAAACTGATAGTTATTTTATGTCCCCTTTGAAACCGTACAACTTTTGTCTCATACATTTTTCTCTAAAATGCTTCGTTTCCGAGATATAAGTTTTTAGTAACTCTTTAACTGACTCAGCCGGTATATACCATAATCAGTATGAGATTAATTATATAAACCAGTTTTTTCTTTTTACTGTGGTAAGTCTGATTTTCTCTGCTAACTTTGTTTTGTTGATCATATTGGCCCCCTATTGTTGACTCTATTTACTGTGGTTGTTTTTTTCTGTTATCTGCTTGCTTTTGTACGTACGTACGTGAGTACGTCTTCATATGTATCGAGTTTTATTTACAGTGTGCTTTTTATTTTATTTTATTTTTTCACATTTTTATTGCTTTTTTCAAAAACGCGTCGATTCATTACGCGTGCCGTTAACAAAAAAATGTTGCGATAAAATGTTTGCACGCGGTGACGCACGAAAATGTAATTTGAAACATGAAAGAACGAAGACATGACTCGACGTTGTAGTAAGAAGGTAGCTATCTATGTGGCGGCTGCTCATTAAAATATTCGTTTTCTTGAAAACGTCTTTCACGGCCATAGCGCAACATTCGTCTGCAGCAAGAAAGACGTGGTTAAGAGGAAGGCTACACGATAAAGCCGTGCGATTCATCGCCGGGACGTGTCGCCGAGAATAACGAATCCACCTAGCGGACTCAATTCTCGTGCGTAAATACCTGATAAAAGCGTTCGTTCACGCTGAAAGAAGCTGAAGTGGTTTCGTCCCTTTTACGATGGACTTGACGATCTGTATGTGCGGGGCGCGCAAAAAGTGAATTACAATGCAGGATCGTGACGAATGGGAACGACAATATAAATTAATGCTTCGCAAGGCAGACTTAGCGTGCGACAATATTATTGTGACTTTTTTGTGTTGTGCATAATACTAATTTATTATTCATTGATTACTTAGAGTAGAAGATACGATCCTGTCAAAATACTTCATCATCTAGTCATCTAGTAGCCTTATCTCTAGAAAGCAATTCATACGATTTGGCAATACTGATAACCCTGTACCGGATGTTAAGACAATCACAATCCCGGTTTGTCCATCTCGTGTGGAAAAATTAGACACGATCGTCATGTTGACTTTCGATCTCGCTCGGGAGCGCTGTAGGGATTTCTTTCTACACCTGTTAGACGTTAACAATGATCAATGAAACGTTGGCTCGGGGTCGGGACTGGGACGCAATACGTGTCTCGTATATCTCATCATTTAAGATTCTCGTGCGCGGTTCCGTCCCGGGGGAGAGCGTCGTTCCTCTTCCTTCGTACGAGTCTGTTCGTTCGAGGTGGCTACCGGCGTAATAATGACCGTAATTACGCTACAACATTCGATCCATCGATCGATCGAGCGGGCAAATCGAAATTTGCCCGTTCGTCCGATCGAACGCGCTCCATCTGCGAGTTTTAATATTCCCCTGAAAAAGAAGATACACCGATCCTGCCCCTCCGACGTAATGAATCACTCTCATCTTCCACGTCGGCGCTTGGTCGGCGTTGTCGAGATCGAGCGACGAAGAAAATCGCTCGTGTAATGGCTGCTTGATACAATACGACCGAGGTGATAGAACCGGGGTTATAATACGGCGGGCGCGGGAGAGGCGTTATTTATGTATGGGAAACGCTCGATTCGCCAAGCGCAGAATCGACGGCCAGATTAGACGGTTTCGCAATCCCAGCCTCGCTATTTCTCGATTATCGCACGCTTATCGCGACGTGAGGCTCGAGCGTGCGTTTCGCCCTATCTTTTCGCATAGAAGAATTGCGTTTCGATAGTTCCTTCTCTCTTCCCCTTTTCTCTCTCTCTCTCTCTCTCTCTCTCTCTCTCTCTCTCTCTCTCTCTGTCGTCTCGCACCCAAAAAAAAGTAATTTCAAAACAAGTGGAATCATTTAAATTTTAGAAGATTTTATTCTTATATATGGCCTCAAGAAGATTCCTCTAAGATTAAGAGGAAGATATTATAAACACATTATTCTTAAAGTTAGGGCGATTATATGTCGCATGTATAATGCAAATCTTATTAATTTTAATATAAATTTCCTCTTATACACAGATTATTTAATTTTTTTTAAGAGAATTATTTATTCTTACTGTACTTTATTCTTACTGGTTAATTTTAAAAAATTATTATAATGTATATAGCGAAAAGTAATATATAGCAGATACACTTCAGGCTCCAGTTCTATAATAAGTAGGCATGAATGAAATAAGATCATCAACAATAACGATAACAACAACAAATAAATTTCCAATCAGTTTTGTTATGGATTTCATTGCTACAAAGATGTTCATCACAACCAATTGTATAAAACATGGTTAAAAGAAAGAATATATTATTCAACTTCTTGTAATAGATTATAAGTTATATTTGACCAAATATAAGTAAATTATCTTCGTTATATGTTGCAGCAACACACCTACCTTTTTAAAAGGCGTTCCAAATATTCTGACCCGTGAGTTATTTTTTCGTTCATGTTCTGGAAGTAGAGCATGACTGAACAAAAGAAGCCGACATTCAAATCAACATATTCCTCTTCGTACAAGAAGGAAATTAATTGATATAAGAGGAAATCCTCATGAAATAAGAAGAAAACAGTTAGAACATATCTAATAAATTTTAGATGAATGGTTCATTTTAATCGCTCTATCGAAAGCGAGGAATCCTTTTCCTGTAAGAGGCTTCTCTTAGAATATGAAACTATGGGGAAAATCACTTTACAAATAGAACACCTTTTTTTTCGGGCGCGCACTTTATCGGCGACCATTCGCCAGGCGTGGAGCGAGGGAATTTTCGGCCATCAGCATGACCGCACACTTGGGAAATGTCCGTTGTCGCGTGGCTAAAAAGTGAGCACCTGCCCTCGGCAGAAGTTGACTCGCTCGGATGTGCCAGTGGAGGTGGCACACCACGAGGCGGTTCAGCTGTTGCTGCAGCTGAAGTAAATGCTGATTCCATGAGAATCGAACCCACCTACCGCTCTCGGAATAGCTTTTCCTTCTCCTGCTTTTTTATTCCTCTTCAATAACGGATCGCGTGTCGCGCGTTGCCCTTTATTGCTCGAATGAGAGAGAGATGTGTGTCGAATCGTTGGAGTCGCTCCCGTAGACCTCGTCTCTTCAACTTTCTTCTTCGGCGTTTTTCAATGAAGCGTTGAATATTCATCGGTATCGAGTCAAAATAAACTCGTGCAAACAACTTCCTAATGTCTACCTAATCTCATCGTTACTTAATTGTCTCGTGACTATCGATGACTCGCCTCAACGAGCTCTTCCTCGCTCCCCGGGACAATCGCGCTTCTTTGAACTTGAATTTGATTTCTTCACCGCGAAAGCGCCGAATTCAACTTTTTTTGGATCGAACAGGTGACCTCTCGTTTGCCTCGTGCCTCGTGTCGTTTTATACTCGAGGATAGTCATTTTGCAAACACAAGTTACATTTGTAATCTTTGGACCTTTTTGTTTCTTTTCACGAGCAAACGGCCGCCTTTGTATTTGGTGTGCCCATGCGATGATTCGTCGGTATGGGAACTCCGGTGTTCGTGCGCTTGATCAGAACACCGTAAAAGAGGGAGAGGGATGCAGTGAGCCACGTGACCGAGCGCGTGTTCAACAGTAACAGCTGCACCGATGCAGTCCTTTCAATTCACGTAGAACCTTCGTCGAAGCAACACTGTGGCGATCAGCAGAGCGAAGTCGCCCTGGGATTCGGGGTCCTAAACAAAGTCGAGACATACGCTCTTCAGTTTGGCTCGCGGCGCGAATCGACACGAGACCGATCGCAAAAACGCGCGATTCCCGAGGAGCGAAAAAGTGATTGCAATTAGAGTGACAGGAGGTCAACCGCACCCCGAAGGATAATGGATAACCACCGCGTCAGGCTGATTTGCAATCAACCTCTGATTCTGGCGGTCGTAATTGTGTGTGCGCTGGCTATATTTATCGAGGTTTGTGCCACTTTATTTTTAATAGTTAACTTTTCTGCTTGTACTTGACTTGTACTTGATCCGCGAGATAACTTGCGAGTCGATTGAACCGAGGTTCGCCAGTTCGCCGTGTCATAATTCGAAGACAGAAAAAGTCACATCGGCCAATCGTCTTTGATGGTTGCCGAGTCTAAAGGAGTAGATCAGCCGAGTCGGCAATCAAAAGTGCGAGCGCGTATTACAGCGTCGTCGCATTGTCGATCAAGGCGTTTACCGCCGGATGAGTTGCGTAAGGAACGGTTCGATTGCGTCGCGATAATACACGCGGCTACGGCTATAATTCGTCGATCAGCGTCGGTTGGTTTTCCCTGCCCGAAGCGGCGCTCTCGGACGGCGCGATCGTACCTGTCATCGTGTACAATCAAAAGGAAAAGAAAAGAAATAGTTTCGCTCCTGCTCTTCCGCTTTATCAATCCTGCGTTCACACTTGAACGCGCCCTTGCAGCATCATAAGCGCCTTATTAAATCAGACATCGAACTGATTGGCCGACTGCCTGTTGGCGAAGCGGAGAAAAGCGATCCCGATAGCAATCGTGCCGAAAGCACGGAATTTCGCCCGATTCTACGCACACATACACACACACACACGCACGACGATGTTTATTACACCTCGATTATTCACCCGACTGAAACATATTGCTGATTGGATAAAATCAGTTCTCACGTGTGCGCAGTCCATCCCCGTGACGATGGCATACGCAAGTACGGGCAGGGTGATAAAGAAAGACGAGAGAGAGAGAGAGAGAGAGAGAGAGAGACAGAGACAGAGAGACTCTTGTGCGCGAGGGTTGAACCGGAAATATCAAGCTGCGCGAGCACCTACACAATATGTGTGAACGAGATATGATTCGTGGGAAGCAAAAGTCGCTTCATCAAAGCCGCGCGTTTCATCTGCCTCTCCCACGTGCGGTGATTTATGCGAACCCGTAAATTCCATTCGAGAGTCGTTCCGCGCCAAAGGATTTCGCCAGCGAGGGGGAGAGCGGGCAATTAACAATAAATACGAAACTCCACTGGCGAGACTCGTCCGACTTATCGATATTCAGCCGTAGCGCAAACGAATCTGGACGATTCGTCGTCACGCTCCAAAAGGCGGAGGTCCGTCTGAGAATTAAGTATTAAACTCGCCCTGCAAAACGGTCGTTTACGAGAAGCAACACGTGCAACTTTTAGCAGATGGCAAGCCTGCGATACGATTGTAGACGTAGAGAGAGCTTCTTCAAGCACCTTCGCGCTCTTGCTCCAAATCGATCGAGGCGCGTCGTCTACGTCCGGTCCTACTCACGCTGACGCGTCGACGAAGCGCGCGTCGATCATCAGCGTGATCGATCGACAAAAAGTCAAGCGGTGCACCTCGTCGCTAAATCATTCGCATATCACCTGTAATTTTTTTACCATTGGGGACTGCGTACGCGCGCGCTCCCTGTTTGTACCCCACTTCATTAATATTCTAAAATCTGTTATTTTACTTTTCGTAAAATAGCGTTGAGACTCAACCTTAACCGGTGCCTGCAACCGAAATTCAGAGAGAGAGAGAATGAAAGAAAGAAATCATTCGCACCTCTTCGCATACTTTGCGACGCGTCGTGTTGGCGGGGCCCGACGTCGTGCGTGCGTGCGTGCGTGCGTGCGTGCGTGCGCGCGCGCGTGTGTACGTGCCGGCGGCGCGAATAACACACGTGTACGCGCGACGAGTTGAACGCACGAGCACAAAGCGCACGGTCGCGCGTGTCACCCGCGATTGTGTTGGTGCGCCGGCCAGCACACACGGCTACGCACATTCACGCACCACTCGCACACCGTGTGTCAGCGGGTTATTCGGTTCACTGGGGTACACACACCGTGCTTTATGAGGCTCATTAGCATGGCATGGGAACCGAGAGCCGGCGATTCCGCTGCTCGCGCTGCGATTTTCGCGATGCCCCCTCGTCGTCGTCGTCGTCGTCGTTAGCCCTGACTCCTTCGCACTCCCGTCGCACGACCTCGCTCACGCACTTCGCGACGGTACATATGTTCCCCGACGATGGAAGAGAGTGTGTGTGTGTGTCGCATAACGAAAATACCATGAACATATCTGCGAATAAATGGCTTATTAACGAGGTCATTATATTAATACTATTGCGTATTAAGAGCACGATTAATTGCGCATGTAATTAATTCCGAGCAATAACGCCGTGTACCGGCGAATTATCGTTATCCGGCTATCGCGATCCGCCGATGTTAAGGTACCAGGGCGCGGAAAGAAAGTGCTCCCCCCCCTCTTCTCCGAGGCGGGGTCGATGCGATCGCGGAAAGAAATAGGTCGTCCTGCATCCGTTCGAAATGCTTTTTTTTTTCTTTCTTTTTAGTACACTCTTCGATTTTTCGATTATGAATTTACGGAGAAGAAATGACGTGATAATATACAGGGTGTCCCATTTTAAAGGAGCCAGGCGAAAATCTCGAAAAATATGAAAAATACGAAGAAATGTTTCAGACAAAAATCGTACGGTTTCAAAGGAGACATAAAACAATTGTTATCATAAATCTGATGATTTAATTATTTATGACTTAATTTGATGATTTTGAAATCTTCGAAGGTCGATAAGTTAACCCTTTGGGTACATTTGACGGCTGATACTCGTCATGCGCATGTTTTGGCGTAGTATTATTATTATTATTATTTATTATTATTGTTTTGTAATTCTTACTAACTTCAGCATCTTGTTTAAACTATGTATATAACTAAAATAAATAAATTTTTTCGTAAAATGTGTTACATTTACATACGAGTCCATATAGCAGCCCGGTTCTTTTATCGCGGGATCCATCAGAATTTTTGCGCTCACCCAACAAATCGATTATCACACGCGTGTCTTTCATGCGAATTTTCAGGACGCACTCGAACCAAGGCGAGACGCCTCTCTTCCGGCAAACTCACCATCCTGAAAATCCACGGTAACCTCGTCGTAAGTTAGGAAAACGTGAAGGAACTCGCTCGTCCGAACGGCGCCTTCTCGTCGTCGGACTTGCGCGACTGGCTGAAAGATACCTTGTTTACGTCGGGGCGGCCAGGTCTCGACACAAGTGTGGATCTCATTAGCATCGTAAGAGAAGCCCGAGGGCCACGGTTTCCTCCGCGTTTGCAATTGTCGCGATACCACCACCTCACCGCGGCTACATTGCAGCGAAGACGAGACGAGGCGAGACGTTCTAACGAACGGTAACCGTCGACGCCCGTGCAATCGACACTCGCTTCTTAAGCAGCGTCTGCGTTCGACCTCCTTTTCCTCCCGACTGAATAATTTTCCTCCTCCTCCTCCTCCTCCTCCTCCTCGTTAACGCGCAGCGACTTGGCCCGTTTGACAGACAGAAACGAAACTGTAATCCCTGAATTTCCGTCCGCTTCTCAGCCGGGCGATACACGAACTCGGCCACGATTATCGCAATCTCCTCGATCGATCCATCGTGTGCGATATTTCCACACTTTCCTCCTCAACATTCCACGGCCAAGTCGCGACATTGTACGCTGGGCGTCACGTTCAACGTTTCGCTGTGTCTTCATCTGTAAGCGACGGCGTCACGTTCACGACGCACAGGCCTAATGCGCCTTATTCGCTGCGTCGCGAGGCAGTTACAAGAGTATGCTTTTACCTGGCTCTGACGTCCTTCCCTTGTCCAGGTGCGCGGTAACCTTGTCGATCCGACCGCGGGATACGCGGCGAGGGCGGGGTGCGCGCGGAACAATAGGGTGCGTAGCGGCCGAAGATAATTATCGCGGTTCTCGACGCGGCAGCTGCGTCTGTAGGTTCACCCTCCAGGTAACAGTGTCTTCCTCCGGGAAGTAAAAGCAACCGGCCGACAGGCTCGCTCGACTAAGGAAGTACGTACACACGCACACACACACACACACACACACACGCACGCACGCATTCATCACGCAAACACAAGCACACATACGCAGGGGGAGAATCCAGTCTAGCATGACTCCGCGGGTTGCTGCCTGTTGCAACTTCGGCGGTAACCATCTCCTCGTCCTCGTCCTCGTCCTCCTCCTCCTCTTCCTCCTCCTCCTCCTCCTCCTCCTCCTCCTCCAGCTACCGCGGGACCTTGCGGTTCTCTCGAGCTTGCCGCCGGCTTTCCAATTGGAACCGACGCAGGAAAGTATCGGCCATACCTTGGAACGCGATGGACGCAACGAGTACGTTCCACTTACCCGCCGGCGCCCCGGCGACGTGGTCGAGAGGACACCCTTGAAAGATTCACAAAGTGTCCTGCCGCATGCTCGGCCGACTTGGCATTTCCCGATAACGTCTCCCGATAGCCGTACGGCGGCTGGAGAGGTGCGACCTTATTTCGCGCAAACGCGTCTGCCGACACATCGAGTCCGATGGATGGATGTGTCACGCGATCGATGGCGGCGGCAGAAAATCGGAAGAAGCTCAATCCGCCCGTTCAATATCTTATACCGTAATGACGTTTGGGACGTGTTCCCCCACGTTCGGCTTGGAAATTACTGCAATTTCTCTCTTGCGCGCAAGGTACCCGCCTCTTCCGCTGACAAATGGAAGTGGGCCACGTTCCCTTAGGTGTGTCGGGCAGGATGAAAATCCAGTCCCGAGACGCGGTTCTCCTCGGCCGCCTTCCTCCTCCGACTCGCCCATACGTACACATTAAAAATCCTCGTCTATCGTCGTCGCTAATTATCCTTGTGTGATCGCGCAACGAGGTACCTGCAATCATCAGCCGAGCAGGTTCAATAGCGCAATGGCGAGAGAGTCGGGCTCCTCCGGACATTGGCGACGTCCTCGGGTCTCGCGAACGGCCATCCTAAGCTCGAAACTCGACGCGTCTTCAGCGTCATCTGCGATAGCAGCAGGAGTAATAGATTAAGGACGTAAGAGGTCGGAGAAAGCTGTTTTTCCAGGAATATAGGGAGTAGAGTGAGACCGTACTCGAAATGGTTGAATTCCATTTCCTAC